CCCCACCAGCCATATTTAGCAATGAACAGAATGACGGCTCTCCATTGTTTCCTTCTACTGATTACATCAAAATGAACCACGCGTGAAATTATTAGGTTCTTCTACAGCTGTTTGCCATGTATAGTGCCACGTGCACGATAATTTCTCCGCATCGCTATTTATACCTTGGCACTGCAAACATACTTGCGAGTCTAAGCCGCTGTTACCAATAACGCATGCACTAGGAAAGGCTGCATAAAAAGAGAGCCCCGCGTAGGTTCAGCGTAACGGTATCACTAAAAAACAAGCCAGCAAGTCAGAAAGCGTGATAAAACCAGGAGAAATAAAAGTAGGAGGTGTTTCACACGCCCCTACGAAAAGAAACGCTGTCCTATAAACTATGTAAAGAGTCCAAGCGAAAAACACCAGCAGCAGATGCACGTCGGAAGCGGCCAAGGGGGAGCCTGAATATTTATACACGTTAGTAATACACCAAGTACCCTACCGAATCTCACCAGGACCGTTCTTTCTGCAGTTTTCAACCCTATCAGGGATTTAGAAACGAATCGAGTACGGAGCAAATTACTTCGCTTGATAGAAGTAATCTTGGGGCGCAGATTTTTGCGTTGCCCAAAGACAGCTGTGCCAAAGAGAAGCTGAGGAACGTAACGATCACGCAGGCTAGAGAGACAAGGTAATACACAAACGTCGAATTAACCAGCGGTTTTGGCTCCAGTACCTGCAACAAAGCGGGACACCTTATCGCTTATGTACATCAGGCAGTAGGCACTGGCATTCTTCAAGCCTCCGAAGGAATCTCTCTCCAATTCTTCCCACGATGATTCTGTCACTGAGATGTCGTTGTATTTGAGCCAGCTTTTTCGAGGCTGGTCGTATATGTAGGCCCAGTAGTGACCAGCATTTGCTTGCCCTTCATGCACCAAGACAGCGTGCAACCGGTAGGGAACCTGCAAGTTCACATGGACGTAGTTTTCAGACGTACTTTTGGCAAATGAATTTACTGAAGTCTGACCTCCGTCCAAAAGCTGCAGGTGCGTTCACAGCCGCAGCCTGGTACGAGACTCTCGGTTCAGATGGTAAATTTCCTACTAAGCGAGGACTGACCTCTAAGGGAAAAAGCGCCAAGATTTTCATAAGGGATCCTTTCTCTCCTTCGTCGTAACATTGGGATTTTTAAAAACACAGTAAAGTGGACGACTTAAACTGACAGCTACTAGCAAAAAACAGCATTGGCAACATCGGTTTAATATTTACCTAACGAAGCTGCCCTTCTTACCTGCTGGAGGAGAGGGTCACAGTACATTTGTTCAATGGACAGGCTGATCCTGGTAATAGACTCCTTCAGATCTGCCAAGAACATTACGAATGAGGGAAATACATAAAAATTAAGGAGTACTCATCAGGCTATTCTGGCCCCTTTCCCTTCAAAAAGTTTGAAGCCACGCAGTAACTGTCAATTACGCTTAACACCAGGGCTGAAGCCTGCACGAGATCAGCTGTGGATCAGGATGTATCCAGCTGAAGCAGCGGAGGGGAAATCAGGCTGGCATTCAACAGAAAAACCACAACAAATACATTTGGGGCCGACCTTGCACGTCTTGTTCGATCTCGTTTCTCCATCGCTGCAGACATGTCCGAACAAGGGTCAGCTCTTCCTCGGAAACCACGTGAGGAGCCGGACCTTCAGACATTTCTGCTGGCGGACCAGAAGGCTGGAGCGGCGTGCTCGATTTTTGCTGCGGCGAGGGATTTGCCAAAAAGAAAGCCGCATCTTCAGTCCCAGTATCCTTCCTTTCTAGTATGCTGTGAAGCAAAACCCAAGAGCGGTGGACAGGTTTTTCAGCCTCTCTCTTGTTTTTTCTCTTTTTGGAAAACAGCATGAAATAGACCAAACAAAAATCACTCCAGAGCCACAGCAGGATTTCCCTTCCAGGATGGCACAAAAACGTAAACAGGACAAGCACACTGAAATGTCCTTCTCCCATAACAGACCCAACTAAAGTATCGGCCAAATAAAAGCTAAAATTCTTGCAGACCTCTGTAAGCACAGAGCCACGATGTGCTATTCTAAAAATTCCTTCCCTTACTGCTGAGAAACTCGTGTATTTACTCAGCTTAATTTAGAGCGTAAACCAGCCATGCTGGCCAGGTTTGTAATAATCCAATATTGCAGTAATTTACTGGTTGATGAAGCAAAAAAAATTCGTAGCCTAACCAAAAAGAGCACATAATTTAACTCAGAATTGCTGCTTCGACAAGGAATATGGTGATGCTTTTGGAAAAGGGAAGAGACCAGACTAGATGGAGCGTTATATTTACACAAACAGAACCAAACTACGAGCAAAGTAGCGACTGACTACTTGCACAGGCATTCATACAGTACAGCATCATGCTCGCAAGTGCTCAGATAAATAATCCGCTTTTAGAATCGTGGAACCGTTTAGGCTGGCAAAGACCTTTAAGACCATCGAGTCCAACCGTTAACCCAGCGCTGCCGAGCCCACCACTAAACCGCGTCCCTGCGCACCGCATCTCCCCGGCTTTTAAATCCCTCCAGGGATGGGGACTCAGCCCCTGCCCCGGGCAGCCTGGGCCAGGGCCTGACAGCCCTTTGGGGGAAGGAGTTTCTCCTAATCCCCAACCCAACCCTGCCCTGGCGCAACTCGAGGCTGTTTCCTCTCATCCGTCCTGTCACTTGTTCCTGGGGAGAAGAGACCGACCCCCCCCGGCTGCAGCCTCCTTTCAGGCAGTTGCAGAGAGCGCTGAGGGCTCCCCTCAGCCTCCTCTTCTCCAGGCTGAGCGCCCCCAGCTCCCCCAGCCGCTCCCTCCCCAGCCTCGTGCTCCAGACCCTCGCTGCCCTGCTCCGGATGCACTCCAGCACCTCAGTGTCTTTCTTGTAGCGAGGGACTCAAGTTTTAGACTGCGAACCAGGAGCATCTAGCTGAAAGGCAAAGCGTTCTCCTAGAATTATTTTTATTTCTGTTTACTAACCCGTTCGGCTGCGAAAGCACGTCCAGAACACGAGGCTCGGCTGGGGACTGCAGGAGCGTTGTCCGAGAGCCCCGAGCAGAAGAATCTACAGCTGGCTTTGTAGCGATGAATTCGAGAACGTACTGGAGCATGTCAGGCAGCGGAAAGCGGGCTGGGCCAGAGCCGTATTTCATGTACCTACAGAAAAACGCAAGGTGTTGCACGAATGAAGGGATGCGACCGTTTGGTTAAACCCGCAGGGACAACAGAAGCGCAACAGGGAAGAAAACTCCTGGGTCAGGTTGGAGGCGGTTCCATCGGCAAAGGAAGGACGGGAAAAACCCAGCTGATGCAAAGGGACGCACTCACCACCTCCCACCAGCGGACCCTGAAAGCCTCGAGGCTGCGGGGCACGGCTCAGCAGCAGCCGACGCAGTGGTGTGCTGTCAGCACTGGTTTAGTCACAGAACCAAACCGGCGGCTGCGGAGACAATTAACTCCGGCCCGGCCAGACCCCGCAGGACGCTACGCACGGGCCTAAACGTAAACGGCTTTCGTGACGCCCACCCGAACCTCACCGAGCCCAGACCACCAGGGCTACTACCACACCGCGCACCTCTTTGCCTGTCGCTTGTTCACAGAGCTGTCATTTTAAAACTAAAAACCGCAAGCAAGCTTAACGCTCGTTAACAGGACTCTTACGCAAAGCACTGGGAAAACGAAATCTTCTGGTTGTCCACGAACCAGATCTTCGCTATCGATCCCCTTCCTTCCCCAATAAATAATGCCAAACGCTAAGCTTCCTTCCCCAATAAATAAAGCCAAACGCTAAGCTGGAGAGGACATCTAATGTAAAAAATAACAGAGATTCTTTTCAATGTATTACTGGGCTTCCTCACTGGAACGTGCCAACACAGCTGGCAGTGCCAACTGTACCATTTACAGGGTTTATTCTTGTAACAGCATCGGTAGCATTCAGAAACCATCAAAACCACGAGTTCGTTTTTGAAAACACACTTCCTCACTCCACGCTTGTCAGGACAAAGCCGGTTCTGTCTGCCCTTCCTCTACAAGTTTCTCTTGCTCATTCGAAAGGAAGCATTTCCACGCTGCCACAGGGCAAGAAAATAAAGCTAGCCGACTACTTACCTTTCCAGTTTCTGCTGCAGAATCGCCATTTTCTCCTTCAGCCTCTTCATTTCTTCTCTCTTCATCTGAATGAGCTCTTTACTGCAGTAGAGGTACCTAAACAGAGAAATACAGAGCCCTGCCACGTGAGATTCGTTTACTTCTAACATCCACCACCTTTCAGACGTATTTCAGAATCCTTCCTTGCCCACCCGTACAACCTTTTTAATTCCTGTAATTACAGTAAAGCAATAGCCTTAAACATACCGTACAAGCGAGCAACTCACCTGTCCATATAAATAGTCTGGGGAAATTCTAGCTTGGTGTGAATTTTCTCTGGCTGTCCCAGTGACTGATTGAACTCAAATCGGGAGAGTTCAAAGGTCAGTACTGGTGGGAGTTTTGTAAACCAGCGCTGTAACAAAAGCAGAAAGGCCCCCAAAGGGACTCGTTTTAGGATGACTGCGAAACGGCACGTTTTAGACCAATCCTAAGTGATTTCAGACTGATCCTAAACGTCCGTTTGTCTTTAAATACTGATTTAGTAGATATTTTGTTTACGGAGCGACTAGGCAGAAAGCCAAGTTTTACGTGATTAAAATTCCCGCTTCCATTTTACATTTTTACCGTGAGAAAGCCTCACAATAGCTTTCAGAAAGTTACTTTTCTTTGCCTGATGCATCCGGCTCGATGGATTATTAACGGGTCCAGCACTGAATTTTACAAAATTCGCAGGCACTGCGCAAACTCTGGATGTCAGCTAAGAGCCTCCAAGAGGGTTCTTGTCTAACGTAGATGACATGCAATGATGAGGAACAAAACAGAAGTCCTTAAGCAGCACCCGATGCCTGACCCTCTCTCAGCCTGTTTATGAACGATTCAGTTTAGGAGATTCAGAGAAGAAACCCACTTTCTGTACGTTTCGTAAACTGATTCAGAGAGCCATGCTGCAAGAAAAATTCTCGGTGGAATTTACCCTTCCTCTCTCTCTTCCTGGGTTCACCAACACTTCCAGCACCCACAGCCAGAAGCGTCCTTCACCTACCTGAGCATGGCACCGCCCAGACAATGCTCCCTGCTGGACTCAGGATGAGCATACTAAGCTCGTTTCCCTTTGCAGGACTCATGTGTCAGAGGTCCTGCTACAATAAATCTGCTCCCCACCAAAGCGCAACAGCACATCTGTAGATCTAAAATATTTAGAGTGAAGGCGTGGGCTTTTTTATTATTTTTAAAAAGCTTCGGAAGGAAACGGCCGGGAGGCAGCAGAGCTTTTTGAGAAGGAGCCATCACTTCAGAACAAGGGAACATAAAACCAAGGGAGGGGTGATTTACACACCTATTATCTAGGAGAAATGCAAGTTCGCGTTAATCCCACTGATGCTTTGAGCTTCAGTACACTCACCTACGTTCTCAAAAGACAAAATGCACCTTATTCTCTATGTCCCCTATCATGCAGTCCTCTAGCCACGACATCCTAGGAAGTGAAATTAAGATGCAGAGTTTTTCCAGTCAGATTTCTCAGAAATAAAGCCAGAGCCTTTTCCTTCTATCCGTACAGACCAAGAAGGATTAGAACATCTCCACGATCAGTCCAGTTTCCCTTATCTTTCGGGAGAGCATTTGGAGGAGCTAAAAAGCTTGGATGGAGAAGAACCTGCCCGACTAGCTCCCTGCGTCCCTTGGTCTCCGGCACCAGCCCACATCGGTTTCACCTACATCTGCTGTAAACGCATTTGAACAGCTTCAGGCAGGAACCAGGAAAGCCAGAAACAAACGCTTGAGCCTGGAGTCGGACAGGGCTTACCCGCCCAAGACTTCGTTTCCCCTTTGCTAGTTTAAACCACGGCGACACATTTTTCAGACGTTCTCGCAGAACTGTAATACCTTTCCCTGCCCCCCTCTACACCAGACACCTTGGCAAATTCCTTAACTGGTATTTCCCAGTCTTTCTCTAAGCTAACTCCTCAGCTGCTCTTACACACGTAGGATGCTGAATGTAATGGTACACCTTCACTTTCTACTTCGCTGCAACTAAGTATTTCATGATTGGTTTGCGATTCGCGAGATTTGGAAAAAAAAAAAAAAAAAAAAAAAAAAGAGAGAGAGAGAGAAAAAAAAAATCGGCACAGTCAGAAGGTAAGAGTGAAAACGAGAAGGAAAAAAAACACATACAAATTCCAAATGGCATACCATGGAGTTAAGCACTGTACTTTTACCCTCCGAAAATATGGAGGCAGTGGTTCTCCCCCTACTCAGGTACAGGTAGGCTTCAACAGAAAGAGAGAGACTTTATCACACTTGCATCAGAAGCAGATGTTTGCCTTTTCAATTTAAAAACAAACTCCTCGAACCGGTTATATAGGGCAACACGTCTTTATGGATAAGCAAAGTCTTTGCGTCTCGCCCCGTAAGGCTAGCATATATTTACGCGAGATTCCAGGTATCCAGAAAATATTTTGTATTCAATTCGATGTTTACAATTGCCATTTAAAGTTATCGAAATATACCGAGACGCCCCTGCGCTACGCGTGTTGCATTTTTCTGCAGCAGTCAAGCAAAAGCTCAAAAACAAAACGTAAAACTGACCTCCTGTCCATACTTCACCGACTGAGATGCCGTCGCCTCATCCATCTCTCCCTCCACCATGGCTCCTTCCAAGCACTCATTCAAGTTTCGATAACCGTTTACCTGAAGGGGATACTGACCAAAGGCTTCGATCTTGGAAAAAGCGTTGCCTGGATGACGGAAACGATACAAAACCCGTGAACTAACTTAAGAGAACAAAAAAACTCGGGCTGACTCAAGAGAGTTTGTCGTCAGCGCCAGTCAGAGGCACTACTCGCAAGAACCGAACCGCGTTATACAGCTCGCTGTATACGCCTCCGTCAGGGTAGGCCTCCTTAGAAACAAGTGCTTTCAAATACACGAGCGCTTGCGAGTGTTTAACCTTTTCAGAAGAGAGACTTTCTAAACGTTACAGACAACTTTATCAGGACGACTATCTGCAAGTTTAGAGAACTAGACAATTTCATCGGGAACGTGCAACGCTATCCTACGTCATCACTGCTATAAACCAACACGCTCCAAGGAGTTAAAACGTGAATCTACCAAACCCTTCACTCACCCTCATGGACACCCTCAGTCAAGAAAGTCCCGTAGAAAAGTTGCACCATCGGGTTTTCGGATTTGTCCCCAGGGCTCCTGTTTCAGAAGGAAAAAGCACACATTCACTTGCAGCTGCAGGCTGCAAAAAAGCCCCAAGTCATAATCTAAGCCTTTGCCTGGGAATCTTCTACAGTCAAAAGTAAAGTTTTCTATCCAAGCACAACATACAGAGAAAGCTTCTTACCTGTTTCCGTACTCAAAAGCTTATCATAATTAAGGCACTACCTTTTGAAACGTAGGTCCAAAACCCCAGATCTTTCACGTACCCCAGTTCTGCCGAGTTCCCCTAAAAAGCTTTTTCATTCTGCAGGCCGTATCGGCATTGAATAAGTCCCACGCTTACGTACAGAAAACGTACGTGTGACACTTCACAAGCATCTTTCGAGCTTAAGGGACATCATCCTCGGTAAACAACAAACTCTCCTTCGTTTACTCCGCCCTTTCACGTAAAGCCCTCTCGTTTATTGAGGCGCCGCGTTTAAAACCCGTTTCTCCTCAGCGTCAGGTCAAACTCCCGAGATCACAGGAAACTCACTTGACGTTCACAGCGAGCTGGAACGCATCCTCCAGCCAGTCCAGTAGTTTGTGTGTAAATTCACTCACATCTTGCTAGAAGAGAGACAGAAGTCGAGAGTGAGACGCGGCACCAACCAGAAAGCGTTTTCGCGGTCTACTGGTTTCACGAACCTACTGGAATACAACCCGACTGGTATTGCTGTACCTACCCAGCCGAAAGAAGTGTGAAACTCAAGTGCTGTGCTGATTTAGACCGATAATGAACACTCTGCTCATCTGAAAACTAGATCAGAGGAAATTATTGCGATCGCTACCCAACTACCCAGATGGCACTGGGTAGAGCACTGTTACGCTGGCTGTTTAATTAGCAAGCACGTACATTTCGCCTAAATGACACAGGGACAGCTGCTTGTCAGTTGACAAACATGGGAAGAGGCCTCGGAAAGTAATAGCGGGATGAAGCGAAACAGGATTGCCGCGGCTGCGAGCGCTGTTTTGGAGAAAGCAAAAGGCTTTTTAAGGCGGTTTTACCTGCTGTTCTTCAGCGGATCTAAACGCATCCCTCAAGAGTTCCAGTGCTGCAGAAGGGTCCACAAACTTACGACGCGTCCCCAGCATTAAAGCAAACAGACACTGAAGTTCTTGCATGAACACAATATTTCTTTTTCCCTGCATCGCAAAAAGAAGAAAAGCCAAAACCTTCCTGCAACTCAAAAAAAAAGCAGCATCTTGAAACAAAGGGCTACAGAACACTGCGTGCACATACCTTTAAGAGGTACGCTAACGACCAAGGAAAGAGGAGACGTTAAAAGGGACAAAAGCAGAGAGACACGCGGTGTCATTTCTTGGAAGCAATCTGCTCTCCCGACGGATGCGCGGGAGAAAGAATTTAACCGAAACAAAACCGTTAGAGAAAAAAGCGCCAGAAGTAACAATTGCTAAAACAGAAGGCAAAACCTGGTGAATTTACGAATCTTATTCTGCCTGCAGTTTGGGGGTTTTTTAAGAGTATCAAGAGCACACACGAAAGCAGTAGAGCAAAAGTCTCTTAAACGGCGGCGGCCGCAAGCTAGAACGATATAACAAGCGGAGGATAATTCTACGTATGCCTCTTTCTCCAAATATTTCCTAAGCGCCTCCTGCTGAGCGCTCTCAGAAGGTACCGGGGCTAGAGGGACCTTCAGGCTGGCTCAAATACCAGCGCTTCTGTGGTGCGTGCGAACAAATGAACAATCTGGAGCTAACAAAGAAGATTTATGGGACAAGTTTCTCCCCGCACCACAGTTCGAAAGAAGCTCTAGAGGAAAGCTTTAGGAGAAGCATCTGATTTTTTTCTGCGGTGATTCTGCCTTGGAAAAGCATTTCCCAAATTTGTCTTTACCGCAGCCTGACAATCTGAAGGCCGTTAACATCGGCGCAGGAGTCTCGGATGGCCCCAAATTAAATCCGCTTAGAGAAAGAGCAGAACAGCATACCGCGGAAGAGGGAAGCTTCACAGCGTGACTCGATGAAAACTTACAGCGCGACTACGACAACTTTCAAGCACGTCTTGAGGGAGGGAGTACCCAAGGACCAGCCTCCGAAATTCCGGCAGCTGAAACAGCGACTGAAAGGAAAGGAGAGGTAAAGACCAGTCAGCACCTGCGAGGATTTGGCTCACTGCGATTTCACGCCCCGTTGTCACTCTTTTACTCGACAGCTTTTCCGTTAACTTCTAATTCTCCGATGGCCTTGCGTTACTAACTGAACACTGACCGAGCGAGCAGCCTGTGCGCCGGACCAGCTCGTTCGTACCCACCAAAGAACACAATCTCATCCTGCCATTTCTAGGACAGACAGAACCATTTTAGCAAAGAGTACTCTATTCCGCGTAGGCAAGCTTCGAGAAAGCGCCCGGGAACAAGGCACAGCGAGAAAGGGGCCCGTTTGAAGCTTTCTCACTTCCCCCCAAAGCCGGAGACACGCAATTGATCCACGTCTATCTGCTGACGCGAAACGGTCAGGAGAGACATATCTGCTCGGTTCCACTTATTGTTGTCTCTTCTTGTTTAGCTTATCACTAACAATACACGCCGCCTAGTCGCTTATTTGTTCGAGCATCTACGCCAGTGTATCCCATTAGCTGGAATGTGATACACCACGTCTTACGGAGCCAACAATAACTGCAGTAAAATTGAATTATCAGTCCACTTTGCCAGTCAAGCTTCTGTCGCGCAGTAAGCATTTATTCGGACATCGCTGCACCACCAAAAAAACCCCACGTACGTACACACAGACGATGCGCCTCGATCTATTTTTAGGCAAAGTCTATTCAACTGCTCTTTGGCTCTTTCCGTGCACGCCCAGAATAAATCACAACCGTATCAAATAAAAACAGAAGTCTCGTTTGAGCACGGTCACATTTGCCCATCTGCACGGGACGAGCACTCCACAGAGCTGCTGCGCAGTTAATTCTAACCGATGGACACTTTGACCCCAGGACCACAGCAACTCCAGAACTTTTCTACCAGATTTACCTGTATGACAGCGCTAAACCAACACGTATTGCCAATATTTTTCATTCCAACGGGCCAGTCGCCCACTCTTCTCCAGTCATTCTGCTTGGGGTTCCCTCCCCAGACTTCACAGCGTTTCCTTTTGGAGCGATTTTTGCTTTCAGCGGAACGCGCCTCCTGCGGTCTGTCACAAGAGATGCACACCGTGCTGTAAAACACCATCTCACAAAGATTCTCGCGCACTACGGGAATCGTACTCCCCTCCAGCCACACGCGGGACACGAGGGCCGGGCGCTGTCGGGCGATACCCAGCGCAACAGGCAACAGATGTCTTAGCCGACTCCAGAAAGGTTGCGACTCTCAAGTGAGGTGGACGGAAAACACGACCGCAAGACAATTTGGAACGACGGAAGAAGGTAATAAGATACGCACGTTTTTCTTCACGAACTAGCTGCGTGCAAAATTGGCGCCCGTAGTCGCTAACGGAGGCGAATCCAACCCGCGATAAAAAGGAGGCAGCTACGCAGCGACTGGCGCGAGGTGCATCGATCGACACAGATTTCAAGGTGCTTCTTCCACAGGTGCCCTCATGCCAGCAGAGCGCCCTGTCGCGCGGCACGGCGGCAGGGACTGACCAGGCCACAGCTAAACCCCCTTTTTCTAGTCCAACCATCGCTTTGCAGCGCTGCCCCAGCAGCGAAGGTCGACTACCCAGAAGGCAATAATGTCCCAAGCACCTTGGAAAAGCAGCAGGCATACATCCGGTAGGTGATCTATGTTTGCTTTGCAGTTACCAGCTTAAGAATCCGCTTACCATACCCGGGAAAACCGAAACCAATTTACGGACCCACTGACCTTTCAGCAGCGTCTCTTTCTGCAGCCTGAGCTTTTGGCGATTCCAGTGGTCTGAAGGCGTCGACTGCGCGGAGGTCATCTTTGTTGTCAGGGGTAAGTGCAGCAGTAACATCTAGAAGCGGAGGCAGCATTCTGATCAGTTTTCCAGCAGGAGCAGGCAAACGCTTTCTTTAAGAGGAACTTCTGGAAAACGTTACACTTCGCAAATACGATTTCTCAATTGACAGACGATAATTTTCTAGCTCGAGCCTTAACTACAAACGCTTGTAGTTTGGATCGTGCTAGGAAACCTCAAAAGCCATGGAGTGGGCCGGATGAGGAGAACAGGACAGACCGTGCAGCTGGGTACTGGCCAGATTTCCGTAGGCCCAAATTCAGAGCCTGAGGGAACATTTCAAATCTCTCGACATAACGGAACCGGAACGTCAGCTGCTGCTTATATGTCCTGTGCCTTGGCGTCGGTGTCAACAACTGACGCTGTTTCGAGAAATAAAGGATTTCAATAAAACCAGCACGATCACGCAGAATCGCCTTCCTTCACTCGGGTCAGGATGCTCAGCTATGAGTCGTTTCACGTACTAGCTACGTAGAAAAGAAGGAGAAAGGAAGAGGAGGAGTTCTGGAAGAGGTGGAAGCCTCATACAGTGGAACAAAGGGCAGCTGCGCTGTGCCGGGTGTTGCTTCAAAGCTCCCAGCACAGATTTTTGGCATTGCGAACCTGTCCGGCGACAACATCATTCGGGAAAGCTCCAGTTAACAGATGCGTCGTTAGCAAAAAGGTTTAAGGAAACTATTCTCGGCTACCTCAGACTACAATCCCGCTTTTCACATCTCAGTGTACCAAACTGAGGCTTTTGCCAATGCCTGTAACGTCTACAAAAACATTTTTCAGGGAGTCAAACTGCTAGCTCAAACACCATTTTAAGTTTTCATGACCATATGATCCTAAACACTCAGTTTGCCCGCTCTGCCAGCGGATGCCGTTAGAAAGAAATGTACCATCCCTGACAGGGATTCAGTTCTCTCTCTCCTGCTTGCTCTGCTTTAGGAGCTTTCTGGGTTTTCTGTGTTAGCCAAGACCAGCTGTTTAAAACGACAGCTTCGTAACCACGACGCGTCACCTACAAGCACTATTAAAACACTGTTAAGTCACTTCCCCTTCGGAAGCAGCTCTCCTTCACCAGGAAGGTTTAATTCCCTGGGCTGTCCCACGGCAAGCGGCGAGCACTGGCAAAACCAGATCAGCGCCAGGACAGGAGCCGGAGGGGTTCGCTGGCAGGAGGAGGGAGGACCGATGCTTCCCCTTTCGGCTCGGGCCGAAACACGTGAAACCGTAAGGGCGAGCAGAGACAAACCACTTACTTTGTGGGAGCTGTTTGCCCACAGCGCTCCCTTCCCAAGCGGACGGCTCTGCAGCGGCCGCGTCCTGAGCCGGCTCCCGAGCGTGCTCCTCCGTCAGGAAGGTGACCGCTTCCGTTAGGTCTCCATTAGCAGCCTAGCAGAACGATAGGGGAAAAAAAAAAAAAGCCACAGCGCCGGGGTTACTTCATCTACATTTGCATGACATTCAATGCACCCGCGGCAGAGACAGGCACGCCGCCGCCAACTTTGCTTTCTCTGGCCACGGGAGAGAGCTATCTGTTGGTGGCAAGCAGCAGTAAAAAACGAAATTAACGAAGGCTTGAATTTCTCCGTCAGAAAGCACTTTGGCTTTATTACTAGGACAACGCAGACTCCGTTAACTAATTTCACTTCCCTCACAAGAGATTCGAGCAGTCGCAGCGGGCCTGAAGCACGACAGGGTACTTTGCCACCAGGAGAGACTCGCAGGAATCAAACTCTCCGTGGATTTCAAGACACGTGTTTCTTACCGAGGTAGGGCTTTCTTCAGACCATCGCTACAGGCTAAACTCCTTTAAATTTTTTCTGACGTTTCCTGGGCATAGTACTTCTCGATGAAACATTTCAGAATTTCCTTAAACGAGCCTCTTTCTCTGTATATTTTCAGCACAGCTCACGCCCTGCTGCTACATCTCAAGAGGATGGATGGCGTCTGACGATTCCGGACTGACGCGGTTGCAGCCAGTTTAATGCCACAATTTAGAAATACTGCAACACGCACTACGAGGAGGAATCTTTCCAGGTAACCGTTGCTTCTCCAAGTACCTGAGATTCCCGCGTCCCTTCACTTTGGCGCAAAGACGACCGTTCTGGTGATGGACAAGACAACCACCAGCCACAAAGCTCCCGACGTTATTGCGGCTGTCCAGAACTCCTGAAGCGGTTTACATGGAGAAGAACCTGCTCTGACCCACCAAGTTTGTGTTTACCGTAATGCAGGGATAACGGCCCCGGAGGAGCAAAACTTCCAGGCAATGTTTACAATGTTTTAGGATAGCACCCGCTGCTGTGGCACAGATTTTAAGGTCTACCGTTAGAAAAACGAACTGTTGTCAACTCAGCATGGGGTTTTTGTTTCAGACAGGGATGAATACACGAGAACCCCAAAACTGCACGTTCCCTGCCGACACCAACAAACGCTGGCCTCGCGTACCCGTGTGCCTCGCGGGTACACCTGAATGAAGCACAAGCGAGGGGCAGAGAAACAGCGGAGGATTTACCCTTCGCCTCCTACAGGCCGAACCAAATTACTCCACGCAGCACACGCTGTATCGCTTTCACAGGCCCGCCCGCTGACTATTTTAGCGAGGACTAGCTCGTTATCAGCCCGCTGACACGTCACCGAACATCCGACCCGTGCACGACGTTTTGAGAGAGCCTGAACTTGCCTGACTTTCGGGGCAAATTCAGAGGTCTCCTTTCACACAGAACAACGACAACAGGCACAAACCTTTAGAGCCGCATGGAGGAAAGCTGAATCTTGAATTCCTGTGATCTCTTTCAGCTGGTTTAAGAGCATCTGGCAGTCCTACGTGCAAGAAAGAGAGAGCTCATATGAAAAGGTGACCAGGACAGGCATCGAGCTGTTTCCGCAAGGCTTGCCGAGGGCTCAGTGGAGTATTGCTTCTTTCTTTCCTTTTTACTGACAGATTGACACAAAAACCCAGTCAGGCTTGCCTGACCCAAACGCACAGACTAACGTTCAATCCGTTGTATCCTCGCGAGCGCGTCAGCGGGCCCGAGAGGAAACGCTATCCCCGCCGTCGGATGCGCCGCACCTGCGACGGGGACGGGCACCCCCTCCCCCAGCGAGCAGCGGCATGTGCAGCGGGACATATAAGGAGGCCGCGTGCTCTCGGGGCACCGGCGAGGGGCTATTTTAAGTCCGGCCGCGCCTGCCATTTGTGCACGTCGTTTCTCGCTGACAATAAGGTGTCAGAACAAGGGCCCGAGAGGCTGCTCTCGCTTCTCCTTCCCCCACCACGCAGGCAACTCGAGGTTTGGCGAGATACGCACTCTAGGCTCTCAGCCACGGCCATCAACCTATTCTTTGACTGGTCCGACCACTTAAAAAAAGACGAGTACCGAAATTTTCTTTAACGGACTTATCAAATCCTCACAGCCTCGGCTTACCACAGGAGCGGCCACTGTGCTTACCGAGCCACGAGTAACTTGGGTCAACCGGCTATCGAGGCGGGAGCT